CATAACTGACAAATTACATCATTACATAACTGCCAAACTACTGAGAATCACAGCCCAGCCAAGTTAACACATAGCTTTAACCATCAAAGCCAACGTTACTTCACTTTGCACCCTGGCATTCATTATTGTTAGACATACATTGTTAATGTCCAAAACAGTCAGATGTAGTTTTTTTTACTATTGTCACAAATGTAAAATGTCAGTTAAGAGACTGCTGGTGAGGAGTAGGTGTATTTCAATATTATTTTAACATAACAATGAAAAGAAACTATACTGACTACCTAGAATGCTACTTCTTTTTAGTCAAAGAACATATATATATGGATACACACACACACTGTGGATCAAAAGAAATTATTGGCAAACAAGGAAGTGTACGTTTTTTTGTTTTCACTAAGTTAAAGTAGTACTGAAAATAGTTAATACTTAATCTTTTCCATTTTCTGGACGCCTGTCTTTCACTCTACATTTCATAGGTGTTTTAACTTAGATGGAATGGATCCCCTTAAAGCAGAATCTCCCAGGTGTGCAGTTAGACATTGATCTCCTTGGCCCTCAGAGTAACTGGACAGAGCCTGAAGCAACCAAAAACCTTTACCTAGTAGCCTCCAGCATGAGCAGTCTTTTGAGGTATTCCTTCAGGGGCATCCTAAGCAATTTGAAGAGGGAACGAAGAAAGAGAATATGAACACCTACCAGCAAGTGATACTACAATTGGTGAGCATTATGAGTAATATCCAATAGTCCCTCATCACAGAAGTACTTCACTACATGCCTACTTCAGTAGCCAGAGACAAAGTACCATTTCCCATCATGGACCAGCTTCTCAGGGAGCTGGTAGAGAAGTTTAGGATACAGGTGTCCAAGGAGTATAAAAACCCACAGCCCAGGGTGCAAACAGAAAGCTAGGCTGGCTAGGTAGGCACTAAGAGCACACACAGCTCCTGGCAAGAGGCTCATATTTTGGTTTTCATTCACTGAGATTCTTTTATCCATTTAAGGCATTATAGTTGTCAATGAATTAAAGAAGCACTATCAAGATTCTTTAATATAATAATTTCAAATGGTGTACATAATTTTGAATGAATATAAGAATAGTTTAATTTTTTTCACCTACTTCTGAGAAAAGGTTCTCTTAAATAGTGCCTATAAAGAATTCAAGGAAGCATCATTTTAAGTCTTGACCAGAACTGCATGCAGTCATTTCAAGTATAAAACTTAACATAAAAAAAAAATTATGCTCATGGAAGCAAATTCAAGTTTCTCATTTTCAAATGGTGAAAAGGTTTTTAGAAGATTTATATAAATTCTTATTATAGCCTAATATTTTACATTTTATTTTTCTTATTATAATCTGTAAGAAAATATAATTTTTTTCAACAAGCCTCATATTACCCCCAAGTTTCCTCTAGTTTACACCCCTATGCCTGCCTTTTGAATATCCTCTTGTAGGTGTGGCACAACAAGGAAAAAAATGGAAAGCACTGCCCTAGAGGAATCCATCTATGGGCTTCTCTATGAAGTCATTTGAAATTGCTCTTAATTCACATTCTCATACATATACTTTTTTTTTCCTAGGGAGAAGTTCCAACCTTTTTATCAGATTCTGAGCCTCTCATTTTAGTCCACATTTCAAAGAGTGGTACTATCGAATACCAACTCACCCAAACCAGGAAGCCAGGGGGTCATTTTCTGCTCTCTTATGGGCTCTAGTCTAGAGAATTTTTTGCCTCATGTGCATCTGGGCTATCTTCCCTTCTTCAGCATCTCCTTACAACTATCTTAGTTTAGGCCTTTGTCATTTTTTTAACCTAGATTTTAAGCATTATTATTACTTTCCTATATTGAATGAAGGAGCTCAGGTAGCGTAGTGCCTAAGGCACTTGAGTGTTAACCAGAAGGCTGGTGGTGGTTCAAACCCACCAGCCACTCCTCGGAAGAAAGATGGGGCAATCTACTTCCGTAGTGATACTGCCTCGGAAACCCAAGGAGGGGTCGCTATGAGTCAGGTCCAACTCAACGGCACATAACAACAACAACAACATATTGAATGACAATGTTGTTTAGTGTATAAATCTTAACATTAAATTTTCTAATCAATAATCAAAATTTTCAATTCAAACTACAGGAAATTAGAATACAGAGAAATGACTCTAATAGAAACATCAAAATATCTATTATCCAGGGACTATTGATAACAACCTTTGGTAGAAGTTTTCCAATTTTTCTAATGTTTATTTATTTACCTATTAAGTATGTGCATATTTAGTTTATAAAATATTTTCTATATTTTTATAACCTGCATTACACATTATACAAATATATCTGTTTCCAAATCAGATATTCTTCTACGTTATAATTTATATAATGTATTGTATATTCTTTCCAATGGATGTATGATAACTTATTTTACTAAACCTCTACTAAATTATTTTTAGGCTCACTTTTAAGTTTTATCTATAATAAAAAAATATTATATGAATATCCTTGAACACATACCTCCTCACTACCATCGAGTCAGATCCAACTCACAGTGACCCCTCCTTGGGTTTCTGAAACAGTATCTCTACGGAAGTAGATTGCCCAACCTTCCTTCTGAGGAGTGGCTGGTGGGTTTGAACCGCCAGCCTTCTGGTTAGCAGTCAAATGCCTTAGGCACTACACTACAAGAGCTCCTAACACATACTACACACAGTGACCCCTCCTTGGGTTTCTGAAACAGTATCTCTACGGAAGTAGATTGCCCAACCTTCCTTCTGAGGAGTGGCTGGTGGGTTTGAACCGCCAGCCTTCTGGTTAGCAGTCAAATGCCTTAGGCACTACACTACAAGAGCTCCTAACACATACTACAGCCTTAAAATTAATCTTATAACTATATGAGGTTTTCAACAAAGATATATATTAACAAATTATTCTCTGCAAGTTTTAACAGTCTAGATACCAAGCAGGTTTGCCCACTTCTGTGTCATCACCAATCTTAAATATTACTTTTTTCATCTTTGCCATTCTATTAAGTGTCACCTTATTGCTTAAATTTGAATTCTTAAATTATAGAGTTACCTTGTATTCTTCTTATGTAATTGTATGCTAATGTATTCCTTCTCAGTTTTCTATTATTCATAATTTTCCTATGAACTTGTAACAGGGAGGAAGTGGGAAGAGTGTTACATTGTTGGGATTGCAATCAATGTCATGAAACAAAATGTGCATGAATTATGAATGGAAAACCAATTTGCTCTGTAAACTTTCACCCAAATCACAATAAAAAGTTTAAAAAAAAATCTGTAAGGCCTTTATGTATTAAGAAATTAATAATTTGTCATATTGTTGTTGTTGTTATTGTTGTTGGGTGCCGTCAAGTCGGACCCAACTCATAGAGCCCTCCTTGGGTTTTCGAGGCAGTATCACTACGGAACTAGATTGCCCCATCTTCCTTCTGAGGAGTGGCTGGTGAGTTTGAACCGCCAGCTTTCTGGTCATCAGTCAAGTACCTTAGGCACTACGCTACCAGAGCTCCCATCATTTGTCATATGTATTTATAAATATTTTTCTTCATTTATCTGCCTTTTAACTTTTAATTTGCATGTAGAAAAATTTCTTTCATTTTAATGTCATATCTATTAATTTTTTCTTTCTGGTTTAGTGATGGCTTAGAAATGTATTATTCTCCCACTCCCCAAATTATGTAAATATTCATCTATTTATTTTACTATTCATCTCCTTTATGGTATTACTTTTTACATTTAATTCTATAGCTCATCTGGAGTTAATTTTGAATGAGGAAGGGATCTATCTTAATTTAAATTAAAATAGTTAAGCATTAAAGAACTCTAACAACAAATCAAAATAGATGTTACCTCTGAAGGGCATGATAGGGGACAAAAGAGAGATTTAATTGTGCTAGCAGGATTATATTTCTTAAGATGGTTGGGTATTTGTTATACAGATCCATAAACCCTTATTTGAAACCTTGGGACCTAACATGTTTTGGATTTCAAAATTTTGGCAAAAAATAATAATATGGTACATATTACATACCACCTAACACTCCTCAACAGGTCTGGGACAACACCCCATAATCAAATATAGTAATATTTCTGTAGCAAACCATAAAACTTCACATTAAATAAATTAAGTTTAAAATTCTGATGGCTTCCTATCTGTTCAAGTCAGGTTTTACAGCCAGATGAGTTTTTAAATTACTATAGCTTTAGAATATAATTTAACATCTGGTAGTCTACTTCTCCCCTAAATAAAATTATTTCTTTGCTTTTCTTACCAATGTATTCTTACAACTTTAGATTCATTGTCAAGTTCACCCCTGCACAGGGAAATATCCTTTTGAAATTTTAATTCAAGTTCCAGTCAGACATGAAAAAGAAATTAGAAGTATAAGGACTGGAAAGAAGGAAATAAAACTGCTATTATTTACAAATCATATGAGTATATACATAGAAAACTCACAAGAATCAACACATAAATTACCAGAAATAACAAAAATATAGCAAAATGGCTAGATTTGAGATCAATAAGCAAAGTTTGTTTTGTCAATTTAATCCATTTGCTATGGCAGGGACCGGATCAATGTGACAAGCCTCCTTTCTGAATATGAGCCTGTCATTTCAACAAAGAACTTTCATAAAAGACCCTATACAACTATCACTGATTTTTACCTTTGGCCTAGATGCCATGCTGCAAAGAGTCTGCAGCAATGCCCTGAAATTCTGACATCCTTCAGTGGTAACCTTTATCTAGCAAGGAAACAAATGACATAAAGAATCGAGTTTCTGTGTGAAAGAATTGGTACTGACTGCTAGTTCTCATCCAGGTGTAGTTATCCTAAACTTTATCTTAAAAGGGTATTCTTTTTAGCTAAAAAGCTATAATTGTAATTCTCTGTCTTTCAGTACAAATTCCTTTCTTGCCATGCAAAAATACTCATTGTTAATACATAACCCAGCATATGTCAGCGAAACAAATCTCTCTTAGACTCTCCTTACTTTGAGTTTCTGGGCTTCTCCTCGTACTTTCAGTAGTTCTGTTATAGAGTCCACAAAGCCCTGGTAATGAAAGTTGCACATTTTCTCAATTTCTCGGTCATGATTACGGATGCGAGTTTCAAGCTTCTCCATGAATCGTCCGTGCTCCTCACCATCATAGACAGACCTTCAAAAAAATGGCATGAAGATTACACGAGATTTAATTCTCAGAAAGAGAAACAGAATTAGAAATAACGAAAAATGTTTGAAAATTATATATTTAAGGTATACAGATCACAACGTAATCCAATTGTATTAACATTGCCCCAATGTTAGACGAGCATTCTTAGGAAAATCTAAAATTGTACCTTCTCATTCATTAAAAATATTTGAGTGTTTGACAGTATGCATCACAGAATTCTCACCAAAAAATGAAAGGACTGAATTACAACTCCCTTTCACTTTTCTTTCTCAATTAAGCTAGTATAGAAAACCCAACTATCCAATTACTCCATGATCGTACCAAAGAAGATGAATACTGCTGGAGGAAAATTACATAGCTCTGCTGGCTACAGTCAGTTTAAATATATCATTGTTGTTGTTGTTATGTGCCATTGAGTCAGACCCGACCCATAGCAACCCCTCCTTGAGTTGCCAAGGCAGTATTACTACAGAAGTAGATTGCCCCATCTTCCTTCCAAGGAGTGGCTGGTGAGTTTGAAACACCAGCCTTCTGGTTAGCATTCAAGTGCCTTAGGCATTATGCTACTACAAACCTAAATTGGGCATTCAATACTGCTAGATAATACTACTACAACCTCCCAAAAAATCACTTCGTATGGAGCTCTTGTGGCATAGTGCCTAAGGCATTTGTGCCAAAAGGGCAAGGAGGCCCCATCTCCTGACCTCCTCTAACCCCACAAAAGAAAAACAGAATCACCATCAGTAACCCAAGGCCTATTCCTGCAAGGCCAGACATGCTGCCCTCCAGCCCTTTCACCAACCGTTCCTCCCAAAGCACCCACCACCTCTCTCCTGGGTTCAATAATTCACTGCAGTGGCCACACAGAACTCACAGATTACGGGGTTTATTAGGGAAGCACCAGCTACAATTCAAGTTCAGGAAAAATGCTCAGTCTCTCCCCAGCCCCACAGTCTCTCTCCTAACAGTCTCTCACAGCCTCTCTCCCAACAGTGGGTGTCCCTTGGTGTCTCACTCAGCAATGCATGTCTCTTGTGTCTCGTTCCCAGAAGCGCATATCTCTTTCAGCAGCATGTCTTCCTCAACCAGCAGTCAGAGAGAGACTTCATCTGCCTCTAAGAGGCCTCCTTTTGAGCCTGGCAGAGTGGCCAAACTAACCAATCATAACATCAGAATTCTAAGCACCTGAGAGAGAGCAGGAACCTCCCAGAACCTTGCTTCATGTTGCGCCCAATAGAAATATCCCAAGTGGATAACTTTTACAATCAGGAGCTCCTCAGTTGCTCACAGTAAATTCCACCACAGAGTTTACAAAGACTTATGGCTAGAAAAGCCACACTAAGTAATTTACTACACCTCAGTTTGACTGCTAACCAGAAGGCTGCTGGTTCAAACCACCAGCTGCTCTTCGAAAGGAAGGTAGGGCAATCTACTCCCATAGTGATACTGCCTCAGCAACCCAAGGAGGGGTCACTATGAGTCAAATCCGACTCAACAGCAGTGGGTTTTTATTCTCCAAAATAACTACGTTCAGAAACCTTACTTTCTCCTCTCCTCAAAAGTCTACCCCTTCATTCTCAGCTGCTGACCTGACTACACACTTCAAAGGAAAAAAAAAAAAAAGAGAGAGAGAGAGGGAGAAATATCTCTTCTTCTTACCACTAAAGTCAACCAATTGACTTGCACTGTAACTCCTTGCTCTGTCAACCCTCATGTAACAACAGAAGTATTCTAGCTCTTATTTACAGTCAATCCTTCTTGCTGTCTCAAGAACTTCACTTCTGCAGTTTTTCCCTTTTTCCCCTCTTCTCCATCATATATATCTCCCGCTCTACTAGAACGTTCTTGTAGATATATAAACTCTTTTTTCATTGTGATATGAGTGAGAGTTTGCAAAGCAAATTCATATTCCATACAGCAGTTCATACATATTTTGTTTCATGACATTGGTTGCAATCACTAAAATGTAACAGCTCTCTTCCACTTGATCCCTATGGTTACCTTTTCCCTGTGTCCTTCTTTCCTACGTATTCCTGCCCTCTGAGCTATCACCCTGTCCAAATACTGCCCTTCTGATCTTCCATGACTGATTGTTCTAAGGAGTGTATCTACCTGATGTAAATATTCACCTTAAATGTCTGTCTGTTGTTTGGCTGGAAGCCACAGGAGTGAGTTCACTTCCAGGCCTGAAAGGTGACTAGGGGTCACAGTCTTGGAGGTTTCACCAGTCTCTTTCAGACCAGTAAGGCTGGTCTTTTTTCTGTTTATGATTTTGAGCTTTATTCCACATTTTTCTCCCACTCTATCCAGGATCTCCTGCACTGATCCCTTTCCAAGTGGCTGACAGGTACAGCTGGGTACTATCTAGTTCTTCTCGTCTCAAGGTCATAAACGTGACTTTTAAAAACCCACCCTTAACTACACATCTCCCTCTAGCTACCATTCTCATTTCACTACTCCCCTTCCATTCCCCTTCCTCACCTCTCAATAGTTGGTGTTCATCTTATATTACCTAATAGCAGTATTTGCTATCATTTAATACTTCCCCCTTCTTGAAACATGCTCTTCTCTAGACTTCAATGATACCACTCTAACCTGGTTTTCATTCTTTCACTGACATTCCTTCTCAATCTCCTTTCTACATTCTTTTTCCTCTACTACCTTTCTAAATATTTCTAAAACTTCTTCTCTTCTCTACCCACACTCTCTCACCAAGCAACATCATCTAATGCCATGGCTTTAAAATACCATCTATATACTCACGTCTTCCTAATCCGTACCTATATTGTTGTTGTTGTTGTTGTTGTTATGTGCCATAGAGTCGGACCCAACTCATAGAGACCCCTCCTTGGGTTTCCAAGGTGGTATTACTACGGAAGTAGGTTGCCCAACCTTCCTTCCGAGGAGTGGCTGGTGGGTTTGAACTGCCAGCCCTCTGGTTAGCAGTCAAGCCCCTTAGGCATTATGCTACCAGAGTTCCCAATCCATACCTACAATTCAAAGCAATTCCCTGAGCACTAAGCACAAATATCAGCGACAAGACAACTTCAATTGGATTTTTAAAAGCCATCTCAAATTTAACACAGCAAAACTAAATTTTATAAATCCTTTATTAGCCACCAATCTCACTTCTAAACCTGTTCCTCCACAAATCTTTCTACCACCCACCTACCCTAACACAGCACATGATACTACCCAGTCACCCAGGCCAAAACTCTAGGATTCCTCCTAATCTACCTCTATCTCTCATACTCCCTGTCCAGGCTATTAATAAATTCTGACAACTCAATCTCCAAAACATCTCTTAAAACTGACCACACTTCCTACCCTTTCCACTAAAACCCTAGTCCAGACCTATATTTTCTCCAGGTAAGACCAACACAACAGCTTCCTAACACTTTCTGTTCTTGTACTTCCCATCTTCCCTACCTTCACCCCAGTACAGACACAACCCACAAAGCTGTTTTAACGATCTTTTTAAAGCAGTAATTCAGATGTTACCACTCTGAACATCTCTAATGACTTCTCTTTACAAGAGGAACAAAATCTTAAATCCTAACCATGGTTTAGGAGCTCTGGTGGCACAGTGCCTAGGGCATGTGACTGATAACCAGAAGGCTGGTCGTTCAAACCCACCAACTACTCCTCGAAAAGAAGATTGGGCAATCTACTTCCATAGCAATATCGCCTCAGAAACCCAAGGAGGGGCCGCTATAAGTTGGATTCAACTCCACCGCAGTGATCTGACCTGTTGTTGTTGTTGTCATGTGCCGTCGAGTCGGCCCCGACTCATAGTGACCCCTCCTTGGGTTTCCGAGGGACCCCTCCTTGGGTTTCCGAGGCAGTATCACTACAGAAGTAGGATTGCCCAACCTTCCTTCCGAGGAGTGGCTGGTGGGTTTGAACCGCCAGCCTTCTGGTTAGCAGTCAAGTGCCTTAGCCACTATGCTACCAGAGCTAACCGCGGTTTAAACAGTCCCACATAATCCCAAAAGCTCACTGTCAATAGCGACCCCCCAGTGGGTTTCCAAGGCAATAAACTTTTATGGAAGTAGTTTGCCTTGTCTTCCTTCTGTGGAGCGGCTGGTGAGTCTGAACTGCCCACCTTCTGATTAGCAATCACATGCCATAGGCACTGAGCCACCAGGGAATAATCTAGCCTCTCATTCTCTCTCAAGCCTCATTTCTCTCTACTCTCTACTCCTTCAACCCCACCCTCATGCTTCAGCCCACTCTGCCTTTTTTTCCCCCTTTCTCTCTGACACAGTAAGTTTGTTTTTGTTGTTTTAATTCTAGTAAAACTGATCCATTACATCTTCAAACAACCTCTTCCTACTCATCATTTATAATTTGTTGTCTATCTCTCCCACCACAACTCCTCCCAACTAGATTCTAAGCTCAAAGTCAAGAACTTATTTCTAGAACAGTGCTATGCAGGTAGTAAATGTCTGCCGTCCAGTGGGATCCCACTCATAGCGACTCCTACTTGGGTTTCCAAGGCAATATCACTACAGAAGTAGATTGTCCAATCTTCCTTTCTGAGGAATGGCTGGTGGGTTTGAACCATCAGCCTTCTGGTTAGCAGTCAAATGCCTTAGGCACTACACCACCAGAGCTCCTAGGCAGGTAGCGTTGTTGTTGTTGTTGTTGTTATGAGCTGTCCAGTCGAACCTAATTTACAGTGACCTCTCCTTGGGTTTCCAAGGCAGTATCACATCGGGAGTAGATTGCCCAATCTTCCTTCCAAGGAGTGGCTGGTGAATTTGAACCGCCAGCCTTTTGGTAAGCAGTCAAGTAAGTGCGTTAGGCACTATGCTACCAGAACTTCCAGGCAGATAGTAGGCAGTGAATAAACATTTTTTGACTGACTGATGAACATTATCTCTAAGACTTCTTTGATCTATGACATTTGTTCATCATTAAAAAGTGCCAACATTTTCTGGTCCTATCATCATTCACGGGCACCAGATCACTACTAATCCTGT